CTCCAAAAAAAAATCTGAAATTGCTTCAAGTTTCCTTGTTTCGGAAATGTATGTAAGTCTGGACGTCAATTGCAGTACTAGTTACGTAAGAGGAAATCCACCCAAAACCCTCCCTTCTAGAGAGAGCAAAAACGCGTTTCTTTGCGCATTGTCAATTCCGATCCAAATTCTTATTATAAAAAATCCAAACGCCAGCGCCACTGAGAAAAACACGTGAGGCTATCGCCACGGTATAATCAAAATAATATACAAATAAATCATATACGACGGCTTCACTCGTGAGATGCAAATTTATTAATCTTCCCTTTTTTCCACCTTTCATTTATTTGTGTTGGCTACCACAACCTGTCTTTATTTCTTTGCTCAAACGCTGGCCATGTAAACGGGCCACCGAGCGATTGAGCCCCCCAGGTCGTGGGTGGGTGGGCTACAAAAATTAGCACCAACCCAAAAACTTGATCCACTGAAATATCATGGACATAATATAGATGAGAGATGTACTGCAGCAGCACTAATATTTGAAGCTTGAATTCCGGCTTCAAAAATTCAAATCCAAAAATCATAAAACCCTATTCCCGAGGGATGTTATAAACAGTCCTTGTGAGAAACGGAACCAAAACCAATACTCCATTAAAACAGTTGAGTAAAATACATTTGGAGTTTGTCAGGTTTGGGTTCATCTCACTTCCAAGTTACTTCCCATAAATCACTTCCGCAAAGGACCGGCGGGGGAAGTAAACGCAGTACGCGTGGCAGCGTAAGAGAGGATAGGAAAAGACCAGATGAGAAAGAACGCGTAGTTCCTACCGGGCAACGCTTAGGAGCATAGAGACGGCTCTAGCGTGCGCAAATGGGATCTTACGTCCGAATACACAGTCGCAACACGTCGCGATTGCGTACTAGTTACGTAAGAGGAAATCCACCCAAAACCCTCCCTTCTAGAGAGAGCAAAAACGCGTTTCTTTGCGCATTGTCAATTCCGATCCAAATTCTTATTATAAAAAATCCAAACGCCAGCGCCACTGAGAAAAACACGTGAGGCTATCGCCACGGTATAATCAAAATAATATACAAATAAATCATATACGACGGCTTCACTCGTGAGATGCAAATTTATTAATCTTCCCTTTTTTCCACCTTTCATTTATTTGTGTTGGCTACCACAACCTGTCTTTATTTCTTTGCTCAAACGCTGGCCATGTAAACGGGCCACCGAGCGATTGAGCCCCCCAGGTCGTGGGTGGGTGGGCTACACAAATTAGCACCAACCCAAAAACTTGATCCACTGAAATATCATGGACATAATATAGATGAGAGATGTACTGCAGCAGCACTAATATTTGAAGCTTGAATTCCGGCTTCAAAAATTCAAATCCAAAAATCATAAAACCCTATTCCCGAGGGATGTTATAAACAGTCCTTGTGAGAAACGGAACCAAAACCAATACTCCATTAAAACAGTTGAGTAAAATACATTTGGAGTTTGTCAGGTTTGGGTTCATCTCACTTCCAAGTTACTTCCCATAAATCACTTCCGCAAAGGACCGGCGGGGGAAGTAAACGCAGTACGCGTGGCAGCGTAAGAGAGGATAGGAAAAGACCAGATGAGAAAGAACGCGTAGTTCCTACCGGGCAACGCTTAGGAGCATAGAGACGGCTCTAGCGTGCGCAAATGGGATCTTACGTCCGAATACACAGTCGCAACACGTCGCGATTGCGTACTAGTTACGTAAGAGGAAATCCACCCAAAACCCTCCCTTCTAGAGAGAGCAAAAACGCGTTTCTTTGCGCATTGTCAATTCCGATCCAAATTCTTATTATAAAAAATCCAAACGCCAGCGCCACTGAGAAAAACACGTGAGGCTATCGCCACGGTATAATCAAAATAATATACAAATAAATCATATACGACGGCTTCACTCGTGAGATGCAAATTTATTAATCTTCCCTTTTTTCCACCTTTCATTTATTTGTGTTGGCTACCACAACCTGTCTTTATTTCTTTGCTCAAACGCTGGCCATGTAAACGGGCCACCGAGCGATTGAGTCCCTAGGTACCGAGGTCGGCCGTTCACCAAGGTTTGAGGGAAGAAACTCTCTTTCGTTTCCTGGGCATTTGAACCTGAGGCTCTGATTTCCTCTTTCTCGTCTCATCATGAAAACTGTTTGCATGAGCCATAAATTCTTCTAATACCAGCCACTCTTGTTGAAACCGATCCCACCTGATGCGGTCCTGCAGAGAGAACTTGTCGAACTTCTGGTTCGTGAGATCGTCGGCCAGTTGGTTCCATTCACGCGGAACCCAGTCAAGCGTCAAATTGCAGCGTCCAAGTCTTAAAGACTCTGACATCTCCATGATAAAAATTGTAAGGGGAAACTTCGTGCTCATCCATTTCGTCAAGGCGTAGGTGTTGGATTGATTGTCCGTTTTGCCCTTCAACCAGCATACGGCCTCAGAGCTTTGCTGCGCCGGCTGCATCCACAGTTTCACCGCCACCAGACTGGCTAGTAATTCCAAGGCTGCAATGATCCTCTTAGGATCCCTTTTAAGCTTCAACCACGGCGCCCAAGAAAGCGGCACCTCTTCAGAAAACCATGCCAGCACCTTTCCGTATGTACCTTGCTTGAAGCCCCCTATCCATGCTGATTCTTCTGTGGCCTTGGCATCTGTATAAAAGATAACCTGTTTGCCCTCCTGTCGTTTGAGTGGAGGCGGGCATTGCAAATCACCACCAGCCAAAAACCTTTTCGCCAAAAAACGCAAAATGGTCCTCAACATTGCAGGCACCCGCAGGGCTCCACGCTTTGTTCTGATGGCCGCACACCAGCTATAAAGAGGCCCTAAAAAGGGTCTCTCCCATGTCAAGGCCATGGCCGCGAAGCCAAGGCGGCCCAGCCCCTGCTCAAAGTTCTTTGCAGTCGTTGTGCCGGTGTCTGCAAGCTCCTTCACCCAATCGTGCATCCAGCGCGCCCGGGATGGCGACAGTCCCAGTTTGTAAACAGAGTAGTCAGAGAAGAGTCCAATCCATTCCACTCTAAGCCCTCCCCTCTGCTTTGTCCACTTGAAAGGGAAACCCAAAACAGACATGTAAAGGAAGGCAAGGGTTATCCCTCTCCTGCCTCCCGCACTCGCACCCAAAGCTTCCAGATCGTCTGCAAACAGTAGCAGCTCCACCGGCATTTGTGGCCCCAGGAGCTCATGCACCAGTCTGATCCCTGCACCTGCAATTCGGCCCCACCAGTATGAGGCACAAGCCAATCCAAAAGTTCCAACATTGTTTATATATATATATATATGTGGTCGTCGGTGTCCAAGACTCTGCAGGCCAGTAAACCGCGTTCTCCTGGAGCATGGAGGAAGCGCCTGTGGGCCTTACTTATGTCCCCCACCAAACTGAAGACTGAGCACTTGTTCTCCTGGAAGTATGCTAAGAGGTACTGTTTCTCTCTCGCACTGGGAGACCTTGTTTTGTCACGGCATCTGATCCTATTATTCAGTTTTGTCCCGTGGGTGGCGTCATGAATCACCCTCTTCTTCCCCTGATGGTTTTGCTCCACCAGCACCGCAAGTGAGGAGATTGCGATCTTGTCTCCAAATCTGGTCTTCGCCTGTTCCAGTGTGAGTCTCTCCATCAAGCCTTCCGCACACTCCTCCGTGAAGTGCTCCCGCACAAATTGTACATGTTCCCCTACCGATTGGTAGTTGGAACGCCAGACCTCCTCCTGCATGTGTGGGTCGTCTTCTAAGCGCCAAGTTGTCTGTTCTTCATAGCAGTGCGGCGTCCTGGGCAAAGGGGTCAGGACACCAACAGGGTAACCTACTTCGCCCTGCATCAAAAATTCTCTGTCTGCATCTTCTCCAAACGCAAGCAACTCCTTCATGAGTCTAAGGTGGAAAGGTTGCCCCGGGGCCACATGGTCCAATCCCTCTTGTTTCGACCCATGCTGTCTCAGCAGGTCAATCCAGAAAAGGCGTATGTCGCTCTTGAGCTTCTCGTCGCGCACAATATTGCACCCTGCTTCACCTCGTACTGCCATCTCGAAGCCAGCCCTGTCCAAAGCTCGTTCATCCCCCAAGTGCTTCTCTATCAACTCAATCGTTCCTTTTCTCAACCTTTCCCAAAAGACACCTTTGCTCCATATCCTTTGCTCCACGTCCCATCTCCCCATTGACAGGAGTCCAGCTCCATCATGAAAGGACCGGTCTTTGCCCGGTGGCTGACACTTGCGGGGGCTCCCAAGCCCCCCTGCTAACTTCCTGCCATCTGGTTTCAAAACCTCATAGTTCTGTCTGTCCGAGTCCTTTGAATGGACCCCTTCGTCAGCGAGGGCAGCAGTTGAAGTATTATGCAAAAAGGAAAACTGTTGTAAAATGCACGTTGCAACCCATCTGCACATGTTCGATGGCCACTGTTCTGAACCGGTCGTTGCAAACCTATCACCCAGTGTTCCGACCAGTTGACGCTTTGCAGAGCGTTGTACCAATGGTCCAACATAAAAGCCTTGGTCATCAAAAACTGGTGGTCCTTCCAAAAAGTGTTGCGGCAGCTGTGCAAACCCCCCCAAGAGCAGTCTCGTGGGTTTAAGGTAATCTGTTCCAAAATCTTCCTGATAAAAAGCCGCTGTCGTCACCTGTTCTTGCTGCAACACTTCAGAAAATTGTTGAAATTGCCACATACTGCCCGGTCTCTTGCCAAAGTTCTGACCTGACTTGATGGCACCTAAGTCCTCCGGGTTCTCGAAAAGTGCCATGACATGTACATGTTTCATCTGCATTGCAAAAGCCAAAAAGGAAAAATCTGCCATGATGTTGCCCCAGTTTGCTCTCTTCCGCTCTGTCCAGGAAAGGCGTGTGAAACCCCTCGGCCACACGTAAGAACGGACCGGCCTAGGTCCTCTCTTGTTTGCCCATGTCACCCTGGAGAAAGTGCTGCAGGGTGGACTAATGAGCACTGCAAAATATTCCCCAGAAGCTATCTTGCTTAGCAACCGCTCCTGGACTGCTTTCTGAGTTAGGTCTAAATGTGGCTTCACCTGTATGTCCACCATTTTGACCTCCACAGTCACGTCAAAACGCTTTGCTAACTTACGCAACCATGATGAAACTGAATTCTTTCTCGGCTTCCCCGAAAAAATGTAAAGGACCTTGCAAACCCTCCTTGAGGAGGCTGGTCCTCCATCGTTGTGCCTCTTTGTATCCGTAGGTCAGACTGATCCGGTTGTGTCCAAAGGCGCCTTGTCTTCCTTGCAGTTCAAACCGTTGTGACCCTTCTTGAAACATCGATTGCAGAGATGCGCAAACTTGCATTTCTGATAGCTGCATTTCCCCTGGTTGAACCTGAAGCAGATCTTGGAACCATCCGGTGCCATGCCTGTGCCCTTGCCCTTCGATTTTCCCTTGTTGCTCTGCCCCTTGCTTGTCTTTCCTTTCCCTTTTGGGTTCCAGTCTCCCCAAGAGGCACTTGGATTGGAACGTTTGCTGTAGAGGGCCAAGGGCGTGATGAAGTGACGTTCCTTTGTGACCGGACATTTCCATGCCTGTTCCAAAGCAGCTCCAATTCTCAAATGTTCCGTAACCATCAAATTGTATGCACGCTTCCGCACTGCATGCTCATAGCTGAGGACAAGACTCCAAGGCGGCGTCTGTATCTGATTTCCCTGAAGGTCAGTCGATGACAAGCCCCAGACATAATCGCCTAGGATGTAATCCTTGTAGCGCTCCATGGTGTCGCGGCTCATGTCTTGAATCTCTTCACGGTTTGTATGTTTCAAAGCCAGCATCATGACACAATGCAACATCACTGTAAGCCGTCTCCTAAGTTGCTCAGGTCCCGTCGGGAGCGCCACCGTCGTTGTGCCCTTCTTCACTGAGAGCGACCCTTTGGAGTCAAAGACCGGCACCATGATGTCCGGGTCAACTTCGTCTTTTGATACTACCTCCGACAGCAGTTCAGCACGGAATTCACCGTTCTTAAGTTCTTGCAGTTTTTTCTCAAGGTATTCTTTCGATGGTGTTACCTTGTCCTCAACCTTTCCATGGGCCCTCATGAATGCATTCCGTAGGTTGATGTAATCACCTGTAGGTATTGGCTTCGTCCACTCACGTGTGTCCATCTCAGCCTCAACCTCTGCTTGTCTCTTTTGTTTGGTTTGCGTCTCTCTCCAAGCGCAAATCACTGAGGCCAGCTGCGCCCGTGCTTCCAGACCATCATCTGCGTCTGTTGCAAAAGAATCCTTCATGACTTGAATAAGGTCCTCTTCTGATCTGAAGAAGGATGAAAACTTCTGAACTGTTGTAATGCCGTTCGTAAAGAAAGCAGCTTGCAAATCATCTGTAACATCGTTTCGAGACAATGTAAATCTGAGGTCAGCTCCACCCCTTTTTAGGGCATCCTCTCTCGCAATTGGTCCCGCCATGGTGCACGTGCGTGGAAAATGCTGAAAAACAATCCACAACAAACTCTTTCCAAGTGAAGTTGAAAAATGCGTGAGTGAAACATGGTGCAAGATAAAACTCAACCCTAGTGAATCTGCCGTTTGAATCCGTTTGTTTCAAGTTCCCTGCACAGCTACGTTTGTTCGTCGCTGAGCCCTGAACTCCGGAGGATCTGCGGATCTCTCATGTTCTTGCAATCTTCTCAACCGATACAACTGCACTCTTTCAAATTGCCCTCCTAAAACAACCTGTCAAATTAAGGCACCTAAACTTCAGAACCTAACCCGCCAGAGAACCCCAGTCAAACAATCAACATGCCCTACCGGACTGTCTCGATAGGCTCCCTGCATTCCGGCTTGCTGTGCAAGGCTTTTAACCGGCCCGCTGATATTCCAGGCTCCCCCTTTTTGGGCACAAACTCGGATCCCGGTCTCTTAGAGACTGATCTTGACCATAGCAGTTGCATGTTTCCGGAAACAAAGCCCTTTTCTTGAGTTGATGTGAAATAAAAACTGGTTATCAAAACTCTGCACCCTGCCAAACTTCCATGCAAAGCTTGTGAAACATCCCAACAATTGTGTCCATCCAAAACAAGACTCCACAGCGGTGGCAAAACTGATTCCTAATGCAACTTAATCAGTTCCCTCTTGATCTTCCGAGCTTGAGGCGCTGTCCGAGCTCGAGGTTGATGACGAGGATGAAGAACCTTCAAGTGCCTCCGTCACGCTGGTTTTTGGCCAACATACCTTACAGACATGTGAGTATGCTGACTCCTCTGGCATTTGGTAAAACTCTACTGATGACTTGAAGGACATCTCACGCCCCATCCAGCAACCACCTTGACTCTTGTGCAAGCGTCTGCAACGCCTACCACTGTTCACCACAACATACAAAGGTTTCCTAGTTTCTTTCTCCGTTTGCTGTTTCTGAACCTGCAAAGGCTGTGCATTGGGCGCCGACTGTGTGTCCTCCGGCACATCTTCTTCTTCGACCTGTCCAGTTAACTCCCAACCAGGCTGAACCTGCCAGCGCATAGAATCCTCCAAGTGAGAAATGATCAATTGCACCTGATTCTCAGGCAACTGTTCACATCGGTCAGTGAGCCATGACATCGCACTTTCAATGACATCTCTTTCATCCAAGAGTCCAGTCCTGTTGTCTACCCGTACAGCTTTTGCGTATTGCTGCTGGAGTCTCGCAACCACACCATTGTACATCCTGATGTACGTGTCTGAACCGTCAGGCTTCCAACGACCTAGCATGTCACGTTCCTCTTTTGCAGTTCTCAAGAGGGCTAACCCAGTTGGGAGTGTTGCACGTTCTGAATGCTCTGTCCAGAATGTCGACAGGGACGGATCCAAAAGGGGTTCCGTCGTTCCCGGTCTCTTGGCAGCTTTACGTACATATGAAGAATATGAAGTGACATCATTGTACGTTGCCATGGATCTCCTGAAACTGGACCAGTCCCTGTTCAACTTCGGCAGCATGTAGTCACGCTCAAAGTTTGCATATGTCTTGAAGAGATCGAAACCCGTCTTCAACCAAAATGGACTTGTAACATATGCATGCTCTGAAACACAAACCGGCAGCTCTTGTACCCTCTTGGTAGGCCCTGTCGTTTTTGTAATACGCAAGATTGTGGTCATGCGCCCTGCATAGTACTTCAACTCCTTCGGGACTACCTTTTGAATGTCGTCCCAACGAAGTGAAGCCCAGATCTTGAAGAGCTTGATCCAAGCGACTGCCCTCGTGCCCATCAGTAAGGTGTCGTTCTCCACCATGACCTCTAGTGCCTCCAAGAAAACCGCCGGGTACCTAGGTGCTCTCCTTTTCGGTGGTGAGTCCTTTGACAGCATCTCCACAATATAGTCCTTGACTGACAGAACTACCTGTGATTCTCCTACCTTCATTCTATCATCTATGCATGCTGTACGCTCCATCCAGGTGACTGCCTTGACTATCAAGCCAGGGATGGTCGGTCCGCAAGGCTCATCAAACCGAGAGAATAAATATTCCACCAGGTCTCCAGGGACCGGGTAGTCAATTACTCCCTTTGCTGCTTCTAGCCACTGCATGAAGGCCATCCAAGTCTTGACATAACGTTTCAAAGTGTTGTACCTTGTCCTACCTGCCAGGGCCATGTGCAGATGGCGATCACTGACGCAATGCTCCAGATGTTGCAACGCCGGAGCTTCAAATTTCTTCAATTCCAGGTACAGCTCCCTAGACCAGTACTCCTTCTGCTGGTCCTCACGTTGTTTCCTAGCATTCACCTCTTCATCACTCAAATTACGTCTACGTGCAGGTCTCGTGTTCAGCGCTTCCCCAGAAGCTGCACTCACTGTAGGGGTCTCCCAACGTGAACTGTTGTTGCTAGAGAAACGTTCCCTGATCAGCGGCTCTTCAAGTGGATCCAAGTTGACATCACCTCTCAGCCGTTTTGCCAGAGGTTCCACACGTCTGGAATCTTCGATCCACACTGCCACTTAATAAACATGTTTTTGCTCACAAATGAATCCCAGTCCACGGCAAAGCTGTGAAGAAATGGAAAAGGCATCATCCACACTGAAAATTGCCAATTTCTTTCCAGTCAGCCCATGTTTTTCCATTAACCCCCACATGCAGCTTTCAATGTCCACATCGTCCATGGAGTCTTCGAGAAGACTAGGCAGCGCCGAAAACAACTACCTACAAAAATTAGCACCAACCCAAAAACTTGATCCACTGAAATATCATGGACATAATATAGATGAGAGATGTACTGCAGCAGCACTAATATTTGAAGCTTGAATTCCGGCTTCAAAAATTCAAATCCAAAAATCATAAAACCCTATTCCCGAGGGATGTTATAAACAGTCCTTGTGAGAAACGGAACCAAAACCAATACTCCATTAAAACAGTTGAGTAAAATACATTTGGAGTTTGTCAGGTTTGGGTTCATCTCACTTCCAAGTTACTTCCCATAAATCACTTCCGCAAAGTACCGGCGGGGGAAGTAAACGCAGTACGCGTGGCAGCGTAAGAGAGGATAGGAAAAGACCAGATGAGAAAGAACGCGTAGTTCCTACCGGGCAACGCTTAGGAGCATAGAGACGGCTCTAGCGTGCGCAAATGGGATCTTACGTCCGAATACACAGTCGCAACACGTCGCGATTGCATTTTTTGAAGTGCTTCGAGTCCTCGAAATTGCTCAAAATTGTAACTTTTCACTGTCAGGGCGGCCAAGATTCCAGTCTAACATTGAAAAGCTAACAAATTTAAACTTTAAGAAGCTAAATTTTACGTTTTACAGACCTACAAGGGAGGCCCCCACCGTGTCTCCAAAAAGTCTGCTGGTTTCAGGTGCTTTTTTTTTTTTTCCCTCGAGTTTGGCCGATGTCGCGCTAAGGCTCGGTCCTTACATGAGCATAAGCTGTCGAAAAGACGTTTGTACAAGGACACCGTTGGTCCATATGAGCAGGCAAATCGAAGTCAAAAACAACAAAAAACACACAAAACCACCAAACCACGACGACCCGCAAATCCCCCAGCCAGACTTGCGTTTCGCCAGAGGAAACAGCAAAACAAACAACAACAAACCACACACAAACCAAACAAAAAAGAGGCCGGAGCCCAAACAAAACACCCACAAAATCGATTTGCCAAGGGACACAGTGGCTTGACCACTGCATCACTCTCAAAAACATGCGAAAAAATGAATTAAGAACCACGACATTCAAGCAGACATGGAGGCCTAGCCAGCTTGCCTGTCTGCTAGGCATAGATGTGCCAAACTGTACATGAACACGGGGCTACAACTTATGCCTCTCTCAGCGTCCTCTCAGATCAGCTTGTCCAGAAGGCCTCCATGGACAGAGTCGTCACCATATATCAACCGTGAGCAAGAAGCCGTGGTGGTCAAAGTGCCAGGTACCCCCCCCAGCAGGGGGGGCGGACGGTGATGGCGCACGGGAAGCTTCGCAGGCCAGTGAAAAACTTCCAAACTGCCATCGCAAATGTAGTGCAGACCCCTAGTTTCATAGGGGAGGAATGCAAAACTGCAAATTGATTGATCTCAGCCAGCGAAGCTCCTAGGCAATACTCGCAAAGATGAGGGACATGCAATAAAATTGTCGTTGTGCAGATAGGATGAAGCCGAACAAGGCGATGACTCCACACTCGGACAGCAAAAGAGAGCCGAAAGTTGGCATGACTGTACACGCTAGTTCCGCCAGACCAGTGCTATCTTCGGCAACGTTGCTCTCATTGTTGCAGGGTCGCTGAACATGCAAACCACAGAACTGTTCAAGACATTTCAGGATGTCATCGTCCCTGAAAGACCTGCAGTGCATTGCAGTATGCACAGTGGACGATTGTAGTGAATCCAAATCCGTAACGCTACTCACCCACAGAATAGGCAGGCTGCAGAATCACCACATTCCGTCCACCAACTGACGAACCATGTAGGCAGTCTTGTGCTGCTCGCGGGCGCCCCAGGCTGTCCTACAGGGAGCACCACTGGATTGCTCCAGTGAGACTCACTGCAGCACAGTCTGGTCCATGGCTTCGGCCGGCTACCTACCGCCCCTCTCGGGTAGATACAACCAACCATGCAGAGCAACCGGACAAAGGACACCCCGAAAAGACACAGAAAAGACGAACGAATTCAAAACCAATTCAACGAAAAACCCCACCAAGGAGGAAAGATCAAGTCAAAAAGAGGGGCAAAGAAAAAAACACGGGCCCTGGGGGGCGCCAGAACTAATTTGCCGTCCTGAGTAACCTTAGTGAAAACTGCTATGTCAGTGCCTCTCAAATCATAAACCTTAGTCAGCAACAAAGCAAACAAAACAGATCGACAAACTCTCACAATCCAATCTAAGCTCCAGACGCCCCGCGCCTAAATGAGGGCAGGGGAGGGTAACTCAAGTATAGGAAGGCACACCGAATTCAACACGGCGCGAAAAAACACACCAAGAGCAAAAACCAACCAAACCGGACAAAACACAAAAACCAAAGAAGAAGGGGGGTGCCGGGATGGCAAAGGAGGAAAGGGGCGGAGAAGGCCGAACCTACTGCATTAGAATAGCAATGGTGCAGCTTAGCGGAGACCAATGGGGGGGCCTGGATCATCATCCTGATGAATACCTCAGTGTGGCCAAACTGAGCATCCTAACAGCACCTGCAACATGGTGGAGAGGGTGATAAAAACCCCACACAGGGCCAGAAGCCTTTGCTGCCATGAGACAAAATGAAGAAAGGACGACAAAGCACAACCACACTCCCAGCAGTAAAGCAGGGCAACTAAGCCGTCACAGCTAAAACTGGGCCAGGGCGCCATCTTCTCTGTATCGTTCCAATTTTATCGGATGATCCCCGAAGGGAATCCAGCTGATTTCAGGTGCTAAAAACGAACCCTCTGGACATGGCGAGGTGCTGCTCCTAAAGTGACAGAAAGATCAGCAAATTTTGAAGGGTGCAAAGGTGCAACTTTTTCAGGGTAGGAAACAGAATCTGTATAGTTTCTTTTTCACACTTCCGAAAGTTGCACCTTTGCACCCTGGTTTTTCTCTATCTATTTTTTAGACGCAAAATATCAGAAATTGACCGCGCTGTTATTCCATCCGAAGTGGTTAGACTGGAACCTTATCCGCCACAATTTCTCAATTTGGGCACGTTCCCCCGCACCCCTCCAAACAATGATTGAGAAAAATAAGATAATGGTTCTTTGCAGCATCTGCACTTTGATCTTTGTTTCGGGGGGGAAGGGGGGATGCCGGGTCTGTCACATGCACTTGTGCCAGCTCAGGAGTCCAAGAGGTGGTCGTTTGGACGGCTTTTACTTCTGCCTGTCATTCAGAAGGGTCTATTTTTGGGCCCGAAAAAGTCAAGAAAACTTAGACACGCAAATACGGGCCTCCCCAGTTCAAGATTCCTGCCACGGATGCTGTTTGTGTTAAAATAGCTTCAAGCTTGACATTTTGCGCACATAGCAGCTTGCAAAGCTTCAGCACATCTGACAAAATGAAGGGGCCAAAAACAGGCCCGCCAGGAGGGACCACTTTCGATCCTAAGAGGGTCCACTTTTGGGTCCCTTCTGAAATATATTTGCTTTGCGCAAGGGTCCAAAACTGGGCCCTCAGCATTCTGAATCTGGTGCCTCCCTGGGGGCTTGTTTGACGCCCCATTCAAATACTCTCTTGGCGCGTTGTTGGAATCAGGCCACAAACATCAGGGTCACACATCATCGCAACTACGAGTTGGCAACCAGGGCCTCGAACAACGGAGGCCCCCACCGTGTCTCCAAAAAGTCTGCTGATTTCAGGTGCTAAAAACGAACCCTCTGGACATGGCGAGGTGCTGCTCCTAAAGTGACAGAAAGATCAGCAAATGTGGAAACACTTTCCCTGTACATTGCCAAATTTTGAAGGGTGCAAATTTTTTCCGTCCAACGCCAAGTGGCTCTCGCCAGGTCGTTTATCAAGCCGGAAAGACAATAGCATTTTGCAAATTCACCGAATTAATGCAGTGGCAACATCAGTCATGACGACAGTGTGCATACAAAAGAGAACTGAGTAGGATCGATACATGCAAAACAAAGGGGAAACAAACAAAAACCAAAAGCAAACAACAACACCAAAAAACACAACAAAAACCAGCACGGCCGGTCGTCAGCTGATCAGTTCATAGCAATTGAAACGTGCGATGCGAAATTTTGAAAATTTTGAAGGGTGCAAAGGTGCAACTTTTTCAGGGTAGGAAACAGAACCTGTATAGTTCCTTTTTCACACTTCCGAAAGTTGCACCTTTGCACCCTGGTTTTTCTCTATCTATTTTTTAGACGCAAAATATCAGAAATTGACCGCGCTGTCATTCCATCCGAAGTGGTTAGACTGGAACCTTATCCGCCACCATTTCTCCATTTGGGCACGTTCCCCCGCACCCCTCCAAACGATAGGACAGCCTTCTCAATTTGCCGAAGCACGTGGTCAGTGGGTGGGGGAGCTACCAAGAAGCCATCATGTAGCCACACCAGGGATTGCGTAGGGTGTCGCGCGATAAGCGCTTCTATGGTGTCCTCAACAATACGCGCTTCAAAGTATTCTGGCAGGCGATAGGCGCTATCACTCTGGCCAGGGCTATAAGCTGGTCGGAAGCGGGGCAGTAACTGATCGGTCAGCGTTTTACCCTGGGACCATAATTGATGCAAGACTGCACACAGAGTTGCTCCCGGGGAACCATCTACAATTGATCGTAAGTGGTGGTATGCGGCATCAATTGAACTATTAATGATCCTCAGGGGTAGCTGCTTGATAGTATCTGGGCGAAGTGCTTCTACTGCTCAAATGTAGGGGTCGCGGGACAGCATGGCGCGAAGGTCATCAATGGCTGGGAGGGGCATGTGGTCGGGCAAATAGCGCAGGCCTAGGCGTCGAACTAACTCATAAAAGGATCCTTTAAGCTCAACTTCACAAAGGCTTCGCCCAAATAAAAGGAGTCTGGCTGCCCTCGGCATTCTTTGTCCGCCCATTGTACAACAATACTTTCGCCGTTCTCCCACTCGGACACCCATGGCTGAGCCTTATCACCCCTGCTAGAGCGCGTTTCGCAGGTTTTCACCCCAATGTTA